CGGCCAGGAAGTCCCTTTCCCTGGCTGGCCCCGTCCGAGGTACACGTGGTCGGGGAACCGCACGGGGAAGCCTGGAATCCCCGCTGGGAGCAGCCTGCCAGAGCCTCTGCTGAGCAGGCCAGCCTTCCCGCAAGCCACGGCCCTGAGAGAGAGCAGCCCCTGCGATCTCCAGCTGCGGGACCATTGGCCCAGCTGGCTGAGAAGGCGCACCGGAGTCCCGGCTGCTTTGTCAGCGAAGAATGTGAGTTGAGCAGAAGATGGGGGGGAGAAAGGGAGGGAGAGGAAAGAGAGAGGGAGAGGGGAAAGAGAAAAATAGAGAGAAAGAGAGAGGAAGCGCAAGTGCCTCTCTCTCCCTCTCTCTTTCTCTCCTCACCTGGAGAAAGAAGGGGGAGGGAGGGAGAGGAAAGAGAGAGGGAGAGGGGAAAGAGAAAAAGATAGAGAGAGGAAAGAGAGAGAGAGAGAGGAAGCGCAAGTGCCTCTCCCTCTCTCTCCTCACCTGGAGAAAGAAAGGGGAGGGAGGGAGAGGAAAGAGAGAGGGAGAGGGGAAAGAGAAAAAGATAGAGGAAAGAGAGAGAGAGAGGAAGCGCAAGTGCCTCTCTCTCCCTCTCTCTCTCCTCACCTGGAGAAAGAAGGGGGAGGGAGGGAGAGGAAAGAGAGAGGGAGAGGGGAAAGAGAAAAAGATAGAGAGAGAGAGGAAAGAGAGAGAGGAAGCGCAAGTGCCTCTCTCTCCCTCTCTCTCCTCACCTGGAGAAAGAAGGGGGGAGGGAGGGAGAGGAAAGAGAGGGAGAGGGGAAAGAGAGAGGAAAGAGAGAGAGAGGAAGCACAAGTGCCTTTCTCTCCCTCTCTCTTTCTCTCTTCTCACCTGGAGAAAGAAGGGGAGGAAGGGAGAGGAAAGAGAGAGGGAGAGGAGAAAGAGAGAAAGAGAGGAAAGAGAGAGGAAGCGCAAGTGCCTCTCTCTCCCTCTCTCTCTCTCCTCACCTGGAGAAAGGGGGGAGGGAGGGAGAGGAAAGAGAGGGAGAGGGGAAAGAGAAAAAGAGAGAGAGAGAGAGGAAAGAGAGAGAGAGAGGAAGCGCAAGTGCCTCTCTCTCCCTCTCTCTCCTCACCTGGAGAAAGGGGGGAGGGAGGGAGAGGAAAGAGAGAGGGAAAGGGGAAAGAAAAAAAGATAGAGAGAGGAAAGAGAGAGAGGAAGCGCAAGTGTCTCTCTCCCCCTCTCTTTCTCCTCACCTGGAGAAAGAAGGGGGAAGGGAGGGAGAGGAAAGATTTGACCACCCACCCAGTCTGCTCTATAAAGGCACAGTGAAAACACAGCCAGCACTCCCCCTGAAAATTTCTCATTTTCACTCATTTCAAGCTAGCAGTTGTGGTTCTACGTAGCTTGACTACCCTGTGATATATANCCCTCACATCCACAAAATTATTAACTTTATTCTGGGGGAGAGAAATGAAAGTTTATATAAATTCATTTCACATTTTAAGAGGTCTGCAGTATTGCAAAGTTGTGATTGAGAGGTTATGTTGGGGGAGGGGGGCGATGACAACTTCCTCATTGGCTCAAGGGGGCGATTCGTTCAAAAAGGTTAAGAACCACTGATTTAATACATCCCAGCCTCAATAAAGTCAAACTTTGTTGATTAATTGGAGCAGGGTGAGGATGCATATATATGTCCTTCCCAATATAAATATCACCCTTTCTTGTAGCAGTACTTCCATTTGGAAGCATATCCTCATTCACATTGTGACCCAACACAGATAACTTATATGTGGTGGGAATCAATATTCTCTGGTATGCAGACAAGCAATACACTCACCAATGTAGAAGGACAAAACTTGATACCTCTGAGAGGTAACGGAGATACATTCCTTCCCATCCCTACCCACACCCAATTCAAAGATAAGCTAGTGGGAGAGCTTAGTTCTGTGCTCACATCATAAGACCATAAAAAAGTCAAGGTTTCCCCTACCCAGTCATGTCTGACACTAAGGGGGCAGGACTCATCTCTGTTGCCTAGCCGAGGAAGCCAGTGTTGCCCAAAGACACTGCCAAGACACTGCACTTGCATGCTTTTGAACTGTACTTGAGTCTTCCGGTTGACAAGCCCAGTGCCTCAACTGCTAGGCCACCACACACTCCTAGTCATAAAACCAAAGCAAGAGAGAGGTTGCTAATTGGCTGGAATTCAGTAGAGGGGAGATCCTTCTTTGGAAAAGCAAATTGTCCCCCTTAAAATAGGGGAGGGGGTGGCGAACAATGGCTGTAGAAGCATGATAAAATACACAAAGTAGCAAAACCTTTTTTTTTGTTCTCTTCAAAATAATACCATTTACAGTAACATTCAACCTGCATGAAAATTAGTGCTATACTAGTAAATGTAAACTTCTTGCCATGTTTCAGTATTCTGAAAAAAAAACATCCATGCAGAATGTGTCTTTTTTTCTGCAGCCTGGCAATGTGAACTTTCTGGTTTAGCATTATTTATCTGCCAGAAAAGCAGCAATATATTGTAATTTTGGCTCATTTGTTGAAGTACCTCCTTCTTTATGGATAACTTTTGAAAACTGCTACTAAGAAAATTGACAGCAAGAAAAAGACAATTGCAGATGTATATTAAGCAATAAACTTTGCTAAAATAATAGAGAAGGCTTTATGTCATAGTACTTTCCTAAAAAGATAACGAATTCAAATCAGTTTCCATCACTGATTCTGTTTCTTTTGAAACAGAATATTAGAAATGCCAGTGGATTTTTAAACCAAAAATTGCTAAAACGAATCCATTTCAAAATGGTTTAATTCATCGTGTAAATGTAGCCTCTTAAGGATTATGATGCATTAATGTTTTTATTTTTGGGGAAAAAATAATCACATTATTTAAGAAAGAGAATGACTATAAAGAGTAAGAGCAATGATATTAAGGGAGATACCCAAGGTCCGTTGCCAAGGTGATAAAGAGTAAAGTTCATAACATTCAAAAGCAGCTTCCTAATTCAAGAAGGAAGTAACAACACAGACTTGCAAGATTGAGGTCAACATTATTAGGTAGACCAAACCAAGAAGTTAGTTCCACAGGAAAGCTAAAACTACTTTTATTGAGATTGTCTACAATAAGAGAACTTTGCAAATTGATTGTTTTGTATCTCCTCCCTTTTTTTATAGTTCAGTGAATTATAGAACTGTTTGTCTGATCTGCTTCCAAACACTATCTGGACATTCTGGACTTAAAATATGTTCTACTTTTTGTCACCTTGTAATGAGGCTTGGATATCCAGTAGGGGAAATACATCACTGGAGGTGGCTGCTGGACTAACTAGCTGACCCCATCTCCTGCTTCAGCTTCCTTCTCCCCCTCCACTCATCTTTTTAATTTCATATTGTTGCACTTCCATTGTTTATTTTTATTGTTTTATTCCTTTACTATTGTTATTTTTTATCATTTTAATTGTGTTTCATTTCTGTAAATAAGGTACTCTGGGTGGCTCCATGGAGAGATAGGTGGCAAATAAATTTAACAAATAAATAAAATAAATATCAAGATCATCCTCTTTACTCTCTACAATTACTTTTTAGCTATTAATTACATAGAATCCTAAGTAAGTTTCATGAATCGATATGAAACTCGCAGTTGCATAGTTCTTTATACATCAGGCAAAATTTACAAACAGCAGCGCATGAGCTAGCCTCTAAAATTTTATTCATCAAAATGTCCACAGTGGCCTATAAAACATTTTCAGTCTCAAAGAAAATGTTGGTATTGAAATTGGCTATTCCATAAGGTTTTTATTTTATTTTAATTCACCCGACTTGGAGAATAAGTGCTTTTACAGTGTGAGGTTTCCTTTGTCATTTTTAGGTCGGATCATGGGCTGGGTCCTGAAGGCAGTATGGGAGCACCTGGTCAAAGCAACATGGTGCCTTCAAACAGTGACCCAAGCATGTACTCTCCTAACTGTTATCCTGGGCAACAAAGGTGAATAATTTAATCTGTTTAAAATACCTGTGTTAACAGATAATCTTAAATCTTAAGGGCTATTGGATAGGAGGTGCAATTTGCTACACTGGATTGCTGTATTGTGTTTCATGCTCTCGGATTTTCTGCAAGACTTTGGCATAAGCTCCTTGAGAATAATGATGGTTGCATGGTTACAGTGTTTGGTAGATGGTTTTTATGCTTTACTCTGGATTTTTTTTTTTAAAGTTTGGATTCTAGAGATGGATTCATTTGGAACATGTAGAGAACTTGAGATTACAGCATGTTTACACATTATAAAACCGTTCACCATAGAATACTTTTCTCAGCCTTTTACTTTACATTCATTTGTAAAACAGTGAGGTTCTCAGATGTTTCTCTGTTGATGTCTTTTCATAGATAAATTAATTGAACATGTGCTTGAAATACCGGCTGCTGCTTCCTCTTAAACCTTAAAGTAAATTTGTTTCACACATCACTATAAAGTCATAACACGACAATTATCTCTAACCTAATTTAACTAACAAAATTTGGTTAAATTTTGCAACAAAATTTCATTTTTAATGTATGCCAATGTGCCCACAGTAAAAAAAAATGACAATAAAGGTTATCTATCTATGTAATACAATTTAAACAGCTTATATTTTTAGTGACAAAATTCTTGAATTTCAATTATTTTCACTTTAAGCAGATTTCTCCACTTGAGACCACTGGGGCAATATAGATTTTTATAGAGGTATTATAAATCAACCATATGTGTATTTAATGCAACAATGCAATAAACAAGGAAACTGCATTGCTTAGGAAATTGGGGAATTCGGTCTCTTTTCTCCCATGGTAAATGCCTTGTCTTTTGGGCATAGGTCTCAAGACTGGCACACAGACGATGTGCACAACCGAAACTCTCCATTCTCCTTTGCCCCATTGTCTGTATTTTTCTGCTGTACTTGTGACACTTCCGATCATGATATTTGTGCTGTTATCATAATATTAGTAATGTTTTATTTATTTGGATAAAATATATTTAGATGATGCTTTTCTCCAATCCCAGGTAGGTTTGAGGCTGCACCTAAACCTCCTAAGTTCGGAGTCCAATACATAATAAGCTCATTTAAATAGTTTAAAAGAGTGGCTCTTAGTTGCTTTTATTAGATATGTTTGTGATCTTAGTATTGTTACTGTTGTTTTATATATCATTATTTCTTTGTATTCCAGTTCAACTATCTATCAGATTTGTAATATTTTTTTAAAAAAAACCTAATATTAGAATGTGTATTAGGTCATGCATTACTCACTTATACATACATCATTTTTAAACTGTAACACTAGCAAAATTAGGTAATCATATGTTGTTGCCAACATTCTGAATATCAAGTATGGAATCTGCTTCTGCCAGCCAGTTGTATTTCTTCTCAGTTACTGTACCTTAGTCAGATGCTTTTGTATTAAAGCTCATTCAGACATTGCCAAGTGATATTCAAGAACGTGGAACCATAGCCTGCTAAGTCATCAGAAGAAATGTGAAACGTGTCTGCATCCAGGCCACTAGTTGTTTTGATCTGATAGTAGGCAGGTTCAATCCTGAGAACAGAGACATCACTTTTTTTAAAAAAAAAATATTGGTACATTATTACCCCATAAAACAGTAGATAAAGTTTATAAGAGAGTGATCACTGAATTACTCTGCTACATTTGTACTGAATAAGATTGAGTGGAATTAAGTGTAATCGAAAATTTAAACCACTTCATTTAAAATATACTGTACTGCATTTGGTGGAGGACATTTGAAACGAAAACCGAGGATGCTGGTGGAGATTTTCAGGCTTCATGAAGGATATAAACTGTTTTGATGGGACAAGCAGTTTCAATATTTTGAGGCACTTTAGAAATCATAAGCACTAATGTACAGCTCATGTTTTTCATTGCAGGCATGAACCATATGGACCGCAGTATCCAATGCAAGCTCCTCCTTCTGGACAGCCCCCCTATGGAGGACACCAATCAGGAATGTTTCCACAGCAGCAGGTAAACAGTTTTATAGTATTCCTTTTGGAAAATTCATTCTATAAATCTAAGCTTTTGGCGCTGGCAAAATAAAAGTACAATGATGTTTGCTCCTTACAAGAAATTTATATTTGTATCCTTTTATATGGAACATTTCTGAACAACAATTGGCTAATGTTATGAATGATGCAGAACATTCACTAAAACTATTCTGTTTTATTGACTGAGAAAATTCTAGGTTTATCTTAGGGTTTCTTAAATAAACTTTTTATCCCAAACTAGAGTACTTTTATTCATATTATACATTTATGTGGGCATGTTTTCCAATACCATAGCATTTTTTCATGTAAGAAAGAACAGATATTTTCTTTTATTCTCAGAATAATGAGTTTAAAGTTATAAAAAATATTCAGCATTCAGAATCAAACAGAAATCTAAAAACATCTTAATAAATACATTTTTATCAAACTTCCTGATCCCACTTCCAGAACTTAATATTTGGAAAAGAAATATTAAGACATTTAATTATGATGTAGTATTTACCTCAAAACAATTCCTAAAATGAAATTGGTACTTCATTTTATGCCTACGGTCATATTCATACAATGTGACACTAAAATCATTATTCATTTTAAATGTTATGTATTATTTATGGACAAACTTTCAACCACTTTATGCATATTTATTCAAATAATTAAAAGGTCACTGTACGTATTTCAAACACTAAGGAAAATAAAGATGATTATGTCTATTTAAAATATTGTAAGTATATTGTAATTATTCTACCACACCAATGCACCAATATTTTATGTTACTGTAAATATTTGGTGTCTATTTTTTCAGAACTACAAACGCCATATGGATGGTATATATGGACCTCCAGCAAAACGTCATGATGGAGATATGTTTAACATGCAATACAGCAACCAACAGCAGGAGTTGTTTAACCAGTACAGCAGTGCTTACTCTGGACCAGATAGGAGACCCATCCAGGGACAATATCCATATCCTTATAACAGAGAGAGGATCCAAGGTCCTGGACAAATGCAACAACATGGAATACCTCCACAGATGATTGCTGGCCCTATGCAGTCATCAGCTTCCAGTGAAAGCCCTCAACAAAATATATGGCCCACAAGAAATGATATGTCTTATCCATATCAGAACAGGCAAGGCCCTGGGGTCCCTGCACAGGCCCCACCTTATCCAGGGATGAATCGTACTGATGATATAATGGTACCTGACCAGAGAATAAACCATGAAAGCCAGTGGCCTTCTCATGTCAACCAGCGACAGCCTTCTTACATGTCATCCTCTGCTTCCATGCAGCCTATTACTCGACCTCCTCAGTCATCCTATCAGACGCCACCATCAATGCCAAACCACATATCTCGAGCTCCTAGCCCTGCATCTTTCCCACGTTCTCATGAAAATCGTATGTCTCCCAGTAAATCTCCTTTCCTATCCTCTATGAAGATGCCTAAAGTTATGCCCACTCTTCCAGTCTCGCAGGTCACAGGTCCTCCAACACAGCCACCACCATCTCTTAGGCGGGAAGTCACTTTTCCTCCAGGTTCGGTAGAAGCATCCCAGCCAGTTTTAAAACCAAGGCGAAAGATTACCTCAAAAGATATTGGTAAGTCTTCCTATTGTCCTTACAGACAGAGAGACTTTTTACATTAATTTTGTAGAGCTTGCATTTACTGTATATTAATTCACTTAAGAAATTAGTTTTATTAAATTGAAGCTGAGCTCAAATTTGTTTCATGGGAGGAATAATGATTTATGTATCATCAATCACTAAACTACAAATAAATACTCAATATTCAGGGAAGTATAATGGTTTCTTTTATGTTACCAAAATAAGAGCTCTTATACTAGGTACAGTCTTCCAAATCTTTTAATGTTTTGTTCCCCCTTGAAATAAGCAAGCTACCTCAATAGAGAGATGAAAGTTGATGTTGCGAGAGGTACAATACAGTATTATTTTAAGATGATATTGTTCTTATTGTGTACTTTCATAGTAGTTTATATTGTTTATAATTAGTGATTGCTTATGATCTCAGAACAAAAGTCTGCATTCACATACAGTGCATGTTATATCTAGTAACTCTTAAACAATAAAGACTGTTATTGTTTTCATTTGAAAGCTCTCTTTCAAGGAGTAAAGTTGTTGATGGAGTAGTAACTCTTGACAAAAGGAAACAGTTAAAATATATGTAAAGGCTGTGGAAGCTTGACTTGGAGCAGTATAGCAGCACTGTTACTTGGAAAATTGATCTAGGAGATATGATATTGACAAATTCTGGACATGCTGATCAGTCATCTTTTTGAAAGAGAGCAAAAATAGTCTTATTGCACTAATATATGCCCCATTTTCTAAAGTTGCTGATGAATAGTATCGTGTTGCATCTTACAGAATATGTCTCTGTAACATGCAACAAGATACTATTACAGATATGTTCGAATATCACTCAAGCTGTAAATACTATCCTTCTATTGGTAGCTTTCCTTCCCTAAAAGAAAACTCCAGGAGAATTAGTTTCCTAGCAGGTTGTTTTTTTTTGCTTTGTTTTTTTTAAATTTGGTACTTTATCAGTGTATGCTTTAAGTGAGCATTGTAAGAGTGCTAAAGCAAACTTATTTTTTTTTTCTTTAGAGGAAGAAACTAATAAACATATGGCAGTGGTGATCTGTCCTCTGTCAACCTCTTCCATTATAAAGCTGCTTTTTCTCTACACTGTCCTACTCTAAAGCAGCAGTTCTCAACCTATGGCTCGCGACCCCATTTGGGGTCGATCGACCATTTCACGGGGGTCGCCAAGCAAGGCTGTCCGCCATTTTTTTTGTCCGTCATTTTTCCCCCTTTTCCAGTGGGTGCCTTACCTCCCTTGGGCTGGGCCAGCTGGTGGTCGGCCTACTCTGTCTCTGCCGCTTGCCAGCTACGCCTCGGCCGGTGCAGGGGGCAGAACCACGCATGCGCGGCGCTCCCGGGCAGGGAAAGTCCTTGACTTACAACCGGTTGAGTAGTCCTCGACTTACGACCGGTTTAGTCCTCGACTTACAACCGGTTTAGTCCTCGACTTACGACCGGTTGGGGGTCGCGGCATTAAAAAGGTTGAGAACCACTGCTTTAAAGGATATGGATATTAACTGAGTTTTACAATATTAAAGCAGAGCATTTCATCAGAATAGACACGGTTTTCACTGTGTACCATAAAGCATGTGTGACACATCTACATATGTATTTCTAAATTAACTGAGATAAAACCTTACTGTCTCTGTTAATTTCCTAGATTTTAGAGAGGGTCATCCCTTCAGTTTCACAACAGTCTAGCTCTTTTCATACAAATATATAATAGGGCATCGGAAATTATTTGGAAATACTTTGGAACTCATGCAAGTATAGCATCTCTCTGCTCTTTAAAAAAAGCCAATTATGTCTGTCTTCGGGCTTCCGATGCTGCTGCAGATTCCTTCTTAATAAATGCTTTCTTGCTTTGTTTGTTTGTTTGTTTCCAGTGAGTCCAGAAGCCTGGCGAGTGATGATGTCTCTTAAATCAGGACTTCTTGCAGAAAGTACTTGGGCATTAGACACTATTAACATTCTTCTGTACGATGACAGTACAGTGGCTACTTTCAATCTCTCGCAGGTAGGTTGGTTATTTTTCATCTCAATGTCACCATTCCTTCTGTAAATGGAGGGGGAAGCCCATATTCCTTGTTGCTATGCTTTCCAATATCTAAGCCATCCAACTCCCCTTAGGAGTAGGGCAAGTCCTCCAAAGAGCACAGAAGACGTACAGGGTGGCTCAACAAATGGCAAATTTTCCTGTTCTCCTGTAATGTAATGTAATGGGGAGGTAAGGGTGCACGTTGTCATGCCACGGGACTGGATTTTTGCTCAACTCCATGTATTACACCAACCTGTGAATGTAAAAGCCATGAGTCTTCTTGTTCTAACTGCTAAAGTAAAGTAAGCTAAGGCAAAGAATTATACAAATAATTGTATGATTATATAATTATAGCAATAGCACTTAGACTAATATACCACTTAACAGTGCTTTACAGCACTCTCTAAGCGGTTTGCAGAGTCAGCATATTGCCCCCCAAAATCTGGGTCCTCATTTTATCGACCTCAGAAGGATGGAAGTCTGAGTCAACCTTGAGCCTTTCAGGATCGAAGGAATCGAACTCCTGGCAGTGAGCAGAGTTAGCCTGCAATACTGAATTCTAACCAGTGTGCCACCACGGCTCATTATACAAATAATTGTAGCTGCAGGATCATATGTAATGGTTTACATGCTTTAAGAGGGAAGGAAATTTCCTTGAAAACAAGACTCAATTCACTTTTACAATCATATGGACTAAATACTAAAAAGTATTCAAAAAGTATTTACTCAAAAGTAAACTTTTAAGGAATTCATATTGTTAACTTTTTTTTAATTATGGTGTACTCTGAACTCTATAATCTACAGATTATTGGTCACTTGTATTAAAAGTATTTAAAATATCTGTATTAAAAATATTTGTTTTATATGTAAATAGGAAGAAAGGACTAATCAATTCTGAATCTTGTAAAGGGAAATCTAAATTTTTTTTTTCTAAAAAAATGTATTCCTTTCTTACTTACACAATTCTATAATGGTCTAACATGTCCCTTTTACCATTTTTTCTGTTTTTCCTCCCTTTGTTTCCTCAGTTATCTGGTTTTCTTGAGCTGTTGGTGGAATATTTTAGAAAATGCCTGATTGATATTTTTGGGATCCTTATGGAATATGAAGTGGGACATCCAGGATCAAAACTGCAAGATCATAATTCATCTCTGAATGAGGATGGGCAGTCTGCAACAGAGGATGTCAGGAAAGAGGAAGAAAACGATGAATGTATTGATTACTTTTATGATTTGGAAGATGAGGAGGAAGAAGAGGAAGAAGAAGAAAATGAGAATACAGAAGAAGGAAAGAGCACTCTTGTTCCTCCACCTGGTGCCATTCTTGATCCAAGTGAGAGGCCAAAACAAGCCAGTAAGTTTGACAAGTTGCCAATAAAAATTGTAAAGAAAAACAACTTATTTGTTGTTGACCGATCTGATAGGCTGGGGCATGTTCAGGAATTCAACAGTGGGCTTCTTCATTGGCAACTTGGCGGGGGTGATACAACCGAACACATTCAGACCCACTTTGAGAGTAAGATGGAGATTCCTCCTTGCAGGCGGCCATCTCTATCAGTCTCCTCAGGTAAAAAGAAGAATGTAGAGGGCAAAGGAGAATCTGAGGAACAACAAGACAAAAGCATATCAGCCACTATTGATGATGTCTTGTCAGCTCGTCCGGGAGCATTGTCTGAAGACCCCGACTCTAACTCTCAGTCAGATAGTAGTAAATTTCCATTTGGGATCCATCAAGTGAAAAGTCATCGAAATATCAAACTGCTGGAAGATGAGCCACGAAGTCGAGATGAAACTCCTCTATGCACCATTATACACTGGCAAGATTCTTTGGCCAAACGTTGCATCTGTGTGTCAAATATTGTTCGCAGCTTATCTTTTGTGCCTGGCAATGATGTGGAAATGTCCAAACATCCAGGCTTGGTGTTAATCTTGGGAAAGTTGATTCTTCTCCATCATGAGCACCCAGAAAGAAAGCGTACACCACAGACGTATGAAAAAGAGGAAGAAGTGGACAAAGGGGTGGCCTGCAGCAAGGATGAATGGTGGTGGGACTGCCTTGAGGTTTTGAGGGATAATACATTGGTCACACTAGCCAACATTTCTGGGCAGCTAGACTTATCTGCTTATACAGAAAGCATCTGTTTGCCAATTTTGGATGGCTTACTGCACTGGATGGTGTGCCCCTCAGCAGAGGCACAAGATCCTTTTCCAACTGTGGGGCCCAACTCAATCCTTTCGCCTCAGAGACTTGTACTGGAAACCCTGTGTAAACTCAGTATCCAAGACAATAATGTGGACCTTATATTGGCCACGCCCCCATTCAGTCGTCAGGAGAAACTATATGCTACTTTGGTTAGGTACGTTGGGGACCGCAAAAATCCTGTCTGCCGAGAAATGTCAATGGCGCTCTTATCAAACCTCGCCCGAGGGGACACATTAGCAGCAAGGGCAATAGCTGTGCAGAAGGGAAGCATTGGAAACTTGATAAGCTTCCTGGAGGACGGGGTCACCATGGCCCAGTACCAGCAGAGCCAGCATAACCTTATGCACGTGCAGCCTCCGCCTCTAGAGCCACCTAGCGTGGACATGATGTGCAGGGCAGCCAAGGCCTTGTTGGCCATGGCTCGGGTGGAGGAAAACCGCTCCGAATTCCTTTTACATGAGGGCCGCTTGCTGGATATCTCAATATCAGCTGTCCTGAACTCTATGGTTGCATCTGTCATCTGTGATGTACTCTTTCAGATAGGGCAGTTATGACACAAGTGAGAAACAAGCATGTGTGAGTGGAGATTAAAGGGTCATATATAACTGGCTGGTTTCTGTACCTGTTTATCCAGTGTAGGAAGAATGGGAAAAAAAGAAGAAAAAGAAGAAGAATCTTTGCTCCTCTGCCCCATTCACTATTTACCAATTGGGAATTTCAAAACATTAATTTGAACAGTTATGGATTTAATATTTGTTGTCTATGTGTATAAGTACATCTTTTTTATTTTATTTTTTTAACCAAAGTCTGTCTCTAGTACATTCAAAGATCACGTTTCTTTTTCATAGCTATCTTTGTCAGTGTTTGTTTGTTTTTCCCATGTTTGAATCATATTTTTGGGGGAGGGGAAGCAACCCTGAATTGGGTGGGGTGTCAGAATATAGCAAAATATGATTTGATGTTGGGAGAAAGGGGCATGCCACTCTCAAATGCAAAAGTGGAGATAAAATATGCTGAGTTAATGTGCTTTTTATTTTTTAAGAACAAAAGAAATTCCAACCATCCTTAATGCCGTTGCCCAAAGCGCTGTGTGCAATAGAAGAATGATAGTGATGTAGGTGTGGCGGATGGTCAAGGAAAGGGGGTCAGTTCCTCATCTGCCCACAACATTTTCTTGGGTTCTCTGCAGGAGAACGGTTACCCTATGCTAGGAGCAAAACCAATTCTTTAAGAAAGTAAAAACAAAACTCTGAAGACGATCAACACAAATTGCTTCCTCACCAGAACTGTCAACATCAATATCTATTGTTTGACCTTCCACAATGACAGTTCATCACAATTCCTTTAAATCATTTTTTAAATATTTTTATTGCCTAAAGGCAGTGTTGTATATAGAAGTTGTACATTAAACATACCCTCATCTTTTTTTAAAAAAATAAATAAAACAAGTACAAGGATTTATTTTTTTCATGATGTGGTAACTACAAAGTGATGGTAGACTTAATTTTATTATTATTATTATTGTTATTATATTATTATTATATTATTATTATTATTTTCTTTGGGCCATAACTCCAAAAACTAAGAAAAACACCACGAGGGTAATGTACAAGTTTCTGTATGTATAAAGTCATGCTCTATTTCGGGAGAGCAATTGCTCACAACTTACTTTATAAATCAAGATGTGGAAATGGTTACGTACGGATTGATTTAAGAAAATGGTTACCAGTCTACAGAAAAAAAAAAACATATATGGGGAAAAAAAGAAAACACAACTTCAAAGATTTTTCAGTGCAAAGAATACACATTTGTATTTCAAAATAATGTAGTTTAAAAAATACAAAAAAACTTGATGTAAATTCCTCCTTTTCCTCTGGCTTAATGAATATCATTTATTCAGTATAAAATTTATATGTTCCACATGTTAAGAATAAATGTACATTAAATCTTGTTAAGCACTGTGATGGGTGTTCTTGAATAATGTTCTCATTTCTTCATGAAATCCAACTGTTTTCAGCCAGTGATGGTGAAGGTTATGTTTTTCTGCTTACCCTGGAGTTCATCTAGTGTTCAGATAATGCAGCAAAGAAAAACATTACATTTTTCTCTCATTACTTATAATAAAGAGGACCACAGAAGAAGATGAGATTGCTAATTTTCACTGTGTCTACGAAAGTTGCTGCACTCAAGGTATATGCTTGAATAAAACTGTGTAAAACTGGCAATCATAATTTGATTCAGTTAGCTTATCCTTCAGCTTTCCTGAGTTATATTTAGCATCTTAGATTTCTATTGACTTATACAAGTAATAATAATGGTTCTCAGGGCTGTGCAGTAAAAACAACAATATTAAATGTAATAATAATCGAAACAGTGACTAAACGTGGCAGAGATCTAAAAACTAGAAGAGATCAAACGGACACCACATTGGCAACAGAAGAGCTGGGAGAATTAGAGATTAGAGAGTCTTTCCCCAATGCTGAAAAAATAAGAGAAGGGTTTCCTGACAGATCTTTTCTCTAAAGGAAAATAATAATAATAATAATAATAATAATAATAATAATAATAATAATAATAATAATAATAATAATAATAATAATAATAATAATAATAGTAAAGTTGGCAGGGACCTTGGAGGTCATCTAGTCCAACTCCCTGCTCAGGCAGGAAACCCTATACAATTTCAGACAAATGGCTGTCCAGTCTCTTCTTAAAAACTTTTAAGTGTTGGCACATTCACCGCTTCTGGAGGCAGGTTGTTCCATTGGTTAATTGTTCTAACTGTCAGGAAGTTTCTCCTTAGTTCTAGGTTGTTTCTCTCCTTGATTAGTTTCCATCCGTTGCTTCTTGTCAGAATTTCTGTGGCTGAGCAGAATTGTTAAGTGAGTCGTGACTGATTTTATGATGTTCTTGCCACGGTTGTTAAGCGAGTCACTACAGTTGTTAAGTGAATCACCTGGTTGTTAAACAAATCCAGCTTCCCCCATTGATTTTGCTTGACAGAAGCCAGCTGGAAAGATCACAAATGGTGATCACGTGTCCCTCGGTTGCTGCATCTGCCATAAATACAGAACACTTGCCAAGTGCCTGAAATTTGATCACGTGACCATGGGAATGCTGTAACAGTTGTTAAATCCAATCCACTTTTTTCAGTGCTGTTGTGACTTTGAATAGTCGCGAAATGAATGGTAGTAAGTCAACGAATTACCTGTGCTCATCACACCTCAACATGAAAAAATAAATAGGATAGAATGGAACTGAGAGTAGCCTTTGAGTAGAACTATGCAGAAGAGGTGTTCTTTCAGGTATTGTGTTCTCAAGCAGTGCTAGGAAGTTTATAGCAATGCTGCAAGCATCCAGAATGTTTTAATCACAGGAGTTCATTGCTCATAACACCATAATGGCTATTGCACCTGTTTTTATGGAAGAAAATACGTTTACAGACTTTCTCTTTTGCATGTTCAATTTCAATTCTCCTCATGCAAATGAATGGGACAACTCCTGCCCCCAAGATCAGAGTGCAGGCAGATCTTTTGATGAGGTCCATCTAGCTCAAGTGTATTGTACTTCCAGTCTTGACAATCATGGGGTTCAAGTCATAAGCAGTGCTTTTCAATGCATTTTTCTCCATATTGACCCAAAAACATAAACTTCAAAGAATCTGTGGAACATGGTCAAAGATAGGGTTTCTTTCTATGCTGGTATAGTCACCCTAGAAAGGAAATACACCATAGTTCTGCTATCCATCTTTTGCTAGAGAAGAATGCTACAGGCTCTCATGTTGTGGGGAGCATGTATTGGCCTACGCAGCTCTCTGAAATGGCCTAGGACAGTGAAGGTGAACCTTCTGATCTCAGCATATCACAACTGCAGAAAATGCCTAAGTTGACTTCGATGGCCTCTCTCATGCGCAGACACACAGACACAGACACACAGACAAAAGAGAAGCAATTCATAGCCAAGAGTAATAAAGTTATTATTTAATTAATAAATACTTCATTGCGTCATTGTAAATATTTTTTTGAAATGCCTATCCGAGGCAGCTCCAGGCATGGAAACGCCAGAGAGTGCTCTTGCATGGCCTTGCAGCCTCTGAAAAGAGCAGGAAAGCATGCCCTGGTCTTGTGCTCTTTTTGGAGGGAACCTCCGTGTGCGAGCAGGCCCTCTTGCACAGCTTCCAGAGGCTTGGCGTGTCACCAGAAATAATGTGTTAGCTACATCACTGGCCTGGACTAACAGCAAGGCTTGCAGAATTGACTAGTAAGAATTGTTCCTCACTGTTCGTTCATTTCATTGGAGTATTGTATAGACACAAAGTGTTGCTGTTCTGTTTTAATTGGTAATAGGAGCTATTTGTTATAGTTTTATTGCTTTTTTTTTTTTTACTAATCTTGGGTTTTCTGGAAAATATTTTACCCCCCAACAGACATGTTCATTGTTTGGCACCATAAGATGCAAGATAGTTTCATAGGCAATTGTACCATTATTATCCAAATTCACCATTTAACTTCCTTGTGTTCCTCCTGACTCTGCAATTTTCTTCTCCCCCCTCCACCCCTCTCCCCATTATAATCTCTGCAGTGGTAACAGTCTCGTTCATGTTTTTAAACTTACACCTAACAATGTATTCAGAAATTTATGTTAAATTATAGCCTATTTGTAACTGTCCTTCATGAAATGAGGCAGATTTAGGAAGCTATAAAAACATTCTGGGGTCCTTTTCATTCTTAATTATGTTATACAACAATCTTCAGATGTCTTGGCCATGCTGGCTGGGAATTATAAAATTTGAGATTATCACATTGGGAAAGGGTGGTGCACAAAATTATGTTCAGGTTCCTAACCTGACGCTATTTTTCAGCTCAACTACAGCTACAGCCTGGCTATGATAGTGTGAATGTTTGATAAAGAAAGAAGCAACTTCATATGCTCAATGGAACAAACATGGAGCATGATCATTGACTGGATTATTTAATGCTAAACTTGTATAGATCTGTTAGAAGAAGAATTATTCTTTTTTTAAAAAACAACAACATTAAAACAAATGAAGTTTGAAAAATTTAATAGCAATAATACATTTGGAACAATCAGTATAATCTCTGGCTGATGTTTGACACAAAGGAATTTTTACTAGCGGACTTCTCGGATTGTATTCATGTAAGTTTTTATTAAGCAAATAAATATCATTTAGTATAAAGAATTCTGTGCAAAATATGCTCTATGAAGGAGGATATATTTTGGAATATTACCAACTAAAAATTGCTTGAAATTTTACTACCTGTGCCTTGGAAATAATGGCGAGAAGGTGTTTCTAGTCATTACTTTTTCTGCTGATTTAAGCAGGTATATATGATCATCTAAGTTGTATACTGTAGAGGTCAATAAAGTAATTAGAGATCAAGGTCCATTTCTAGTACATAGTATCAAGAAATTAAAACTCAGATGTCCATGTTTAAAGGAAAAGGTGATAAGAGATCCAGCATAAGAATGAACAACTTGAAAATTTCAAAAAAGATCTAAGGAGGCTTCAGCAGTGAGCTGAAACAGGTTGGATAGAATTTAACAAAATGTAAAGTTCTACATTTGGGTAGGAAAAAGGAAAGGCATGAATGTAGGATGGAGGATACCTGGTTTGCAGTAGTATGTATGGCAGAGATCTGAGTAAATATGAGCCACTTGGGGTGCAGTAATAGCAGCAGAGTTCAAAGCATGGGAAATTAATTTTAATGCTTCCATGATTATGGTTTTATCGCAATATAAGCCACTCAG